GTGCAGAGTAATTTATTCTTCACACGAGGTAATATTACGATCATTTCATAAATAAATTATGTTTCAAATACAAATAGTTACAGTCATATTGATTCACTTTGTAAAATTTGGCATAAAAAAAGTCAGAAGACCAAAAAATTATATTTTATGTACATTTTACACTACGTTTTTACATTTGTAATTTATCTAACATAATATATTTTTTACGGCGATTATATATTTTCTTACGTTCTCTTTTTATATCCGAAATAAGACAAAATTTAAGAAACGTAAAATTACGGTGCATTGATGTTAAAATAGAGGGGGGGGTGAAGAATAACTATTCCTCACCCAGGGTGACGAATAGCGCGACCCTTCATCACCCAGGGTGCAGAATAATTATATACACACACACACACACATATATATATATATATATATATATATATTATATAGGTTTAAGTTGCAGTCTTCATTTCAAATCTAATTTTACTACAAGTATAGTGTGACATGTAAAAAAATCTATCACGACCAAGTGCAGATCTAATTTTACTACAAGTATAGTGTCACATGTAAAAAAATCTATCACGACCAAGTGCAGAATCAAGTGTCCAGTCAGAGTCACCAACCTTTAAAAAACCAGTTTCCAAGGTGAGTCATCAATAGGTGAGTTCTGAGCTCCTGCATGCACATCAAAATTGCCCTTTTTTTCATGCAAGCAGGTCTGACCATTGCCCCAATCACTAATGTAGTGCCTGAATCACCAGATAGTTGGTCTAGTCATGCAATAGGATTTTGCTAACACAGAGTATTTGAAATAAAAACATAAAAGGGATGAGAAAAGAAGGAGGTTGCATGATCAATAAAGCATATCTCCAAACTGCACATAGAGCTGGATGAGCAGTAGGCTTGAAGTATATAAAAAAACTCATGAGAAACTTGTTCAGTTTCCATCAAAGACTAAAAAACATGCTCAATTTCTCATCTGTACAAGCATGATTAGTTCTGAAGTGCACATGGAAAATCTGAATTGGATGCAAGCATGCAGCCAAGAAAAAGCAAAAGAACAAGTTATGAGCGTACATCAGTCTACACTTTGGCTGTAGTAAATGGCACATGCACTTGACATGAAAGAGGTCACTTCTCTCTATCTAAACCAACTCAAAGAATATCAAACAAGACCGATATGGA